GGCCTGTGAGTTTAGGTGGACGGCCTTGTCTTGGTAGGTTTACAGTTGTGCCATACTCCTTCCATTTCTGAATGATCGCTTGAACAGTGCTCCGTGGGATGTTCAAGGCTTGGGAAATCTTTTTGTAGCCTAAGCCTGCTTTAAATTTCTCAATATGTGATTGATACATTCATGTAGTTGTCAGCACCATGACAATATATTGAGTAATCCAAAGTACTCAGAACACGTTACTCACATTGAGTAACTTAATGGAATACGTGGCAAACTACATTTTGGGGCATGTATTCTGTAATCTGTAGTGGAATACATTTTAAAAGTAACCTTTCAACACTGGAAGTAATTTTGACATGAACCACCATGGACCACCGCTCAAGCACACTGGTAAACATTCGAGTGTTCAAAGTCACACTATACCTGTATCTTCCTTGGCTGCTGCCTCAAAGCATACCGTGCATTGTCGGTCTTAAGTGCTGCTCAGTAACATTCAATATGTATTATTTACTGTTACTTATATTTATCTAGGGTCTTGCTGTGGTCTTATTACTGCGTTGTTCTATTTTTGCTTGTTTTGTTTTCTTTTTTTTTCTTCCAGCAGGGGATCCTGCGGATTTTTTAGTGTCTTTTCTCATTGTCCCTCTTCCCCTTTGTTTTTCTTTCCTTCTCCTTTTCTTAAATGTCTCTTGTCTATGTTTTTCCCTTTCCTATCCCCCAGTCATGTCTGTTTCGTTTGTAATCATATTTTAAAATAAAATAAAATAATAAAGATCAATCAAGTGGATTCATTATGGATCATTATGGCAACTTGGAAAATTAAATCCATTGGGCATTTTTTTCTTGGCCTTCAGGCAATAATTCGGATTCCTACAGTGTGGAACGGGACAGGCACAAAAAAAATCCCACATGAATCATAATTCTGTGTTTACAACATTTAACACTATTTTTCTTGCTCAAAATCATGAGTTGGCAAGACAGTTCTTATCTTCTCAAACTCAGACAAGAAATAAAAGGTCAATAGTGGATCATGTCTTCACACAAAAACTAGATTAGACTGAATAGACATTTTCACTACTCAGATCTCTCTGCTAACATATTTATCAGATGTATATCTAATCCTTAGCATATAGTGTAAATCTCTGTTTTAGCACTCTAACCAGTTTCAGCACATTTTTAACACAAGGCTGGGTGTCAAGTCCTTTTTTCCCTCAACTGTGATGGCAAGGTGCAGTCAGGGGGACTTCAGTCTCTCTTTACTCCATGTTACAGGACAAAGGTGGAGCATTTGAGTGTTTTTGTGGTCTCAGAGAGGAGATCACAATGTTCCTGCTCAACAGCAGGTAAAAAAAAAAAATACTGAACAACAGCTCCACAGTCAATGTCTATTTTCTAAACTATATATTTAAACATCTGAAAAGAGAATGTTTGTGGTCAATGAGGTGGACTTGCTCTGTCCATGAAGGTGAAGGACACCGAGTTCACAAGCTACTCAAACTTGCTGACATGCTGTCATCTGTAGTCACGTACCAGGAGCTGCAAAGTTTGGGACGTTAACGTACATCATTCCCCTTATCAAAGTGGCAGTCATAGCTGCACATGAATGAAACATTGTCAGTTCATTCTCTGACACGGAATACACACAACTTGGTCTCTTTGCCCACTCTTGGTATATAAAACTTGTTGGGGAAAAAAACAGACAAAACAAACAAACATGTTTGAACAGTAATTGTCACGGTCCCCGTGTCTCTCTGGCTGGCCCACGCTGGCTACAGGTTTTGTTGTTGTTCATTTTGGTTTTCTTTCTCTCCTCCTCCTCTCTGCCTGGGTGGAGCTCATTACGGGCTCTCGCTCTTGGCCCACGCACCCGTGTGATGATGTCCACCTGCGGCTGATCGGGCT